TTCAGATGTGAGCATCTGGAGTGACTTTATGCAGATGCTACCTAATATTTCTTTTTTTCAATCCAGAAATACATAACAACAACAGACATCCTTGGGAAAGGCATTGACATCCCGACTCAGGTAACCTAGACTAACACTAAGTATTCACTGAGAAAATTTGGCGAAGTACCTAAAACTCACTGAAGTTTCACTTGCAACTCTGTAAATGAACTTGATCAACTAAGGGGTAATTTAGTTAGTTTGTTGTTTTTTTCTTAAGATCCAGTTTCTTCTTCTTTTGTCCCATATTTCTTCTTCTACTCAGAAAATCTTTGCAAAGCAGGAAAGTGGCCAAGATATTCTCCTGCCCCAATTTTCCTGTCTGGAGAGCACTGGCCAAATGGCATAGCTTGACATCTTCTATCCCAGTGATCTTAGATCATGACCTCCCGAGTTCATCTTGCTCAATTCATTTCTTCTTTAGTCACATCAGGATGGATTCATTATGTATTCCCGGCTCTCCCTAGTTCTGAGTAGTTCAAAATATTCTCTGAGTGTCCCCTTGCATAAAACCCCTTCTTGTCCTTGTCCCCTCAGCAAACTTTTGCACCACCTTCAAGGCCAACACTATCTTCACAAACAGCATCTCTTCGGCTATGGCTGCAGTACTTCATCAAAGGACTAAATACTAAATTGCTCCAAGGAAAATAATCTCTCTCTCTCTTTCTGGCGTCCCAATTGAAAGAATAGTGTATTTTGTATCCATTGTGAAATACAGAGATGCTGTATAACCACATGGAAGAAACATGCAAAAATGTAATTATTCATATACAACATGAGCACTAAGAAAAAGAAAAGACTATCCAGATACCCAAAGTCAATCAACTACATCTCATATTGAGAAATTGCGGCATTTCTCAACTCTCAAATTTCTCATACTTCTTAAAAAGGAAACCATCCATCCTGATAACTAAAAAACATGATGCCACCTGAAAAGTCATCTGATCCACACCAACTTTAGCTTAAGGTATCACCTGCTAGGTGCAAGATGTACCATTCATAATAACACTTTAAATTAGTGTAAAGAGAATGAGATTCAAGCAAAGCATGTAATTTCACAAGCACTTAATGCATGGCAGGGCTGCCATCTGGGGCTAGCTCTGTTTGGCACCTGAGCATACCCTGCATCCATATCCTGCATCTCAGTTGACCTTGTACTGTGATCACAGGTAGACTTATATTTCCATGTATCTTTACAAAGTGGGAATGAGATTCTAACTCTATCCAGGTCACTTAAAATAGTTTGCGTCAGAAAAAAAAAGATGGGCTGGCTAAATAAAGAAAAAATACATAGATGATTTAAGAAGGGAGATATGGGCTATTCAAAATAGCATCCACTCATAAAAGTCTTCATTAAAATAAATTTCCAATCTTCCATTAGGCTCACGGGTAGCCTTTCTTATTTTTGGTTCAATACCTTAGAATATTATTTATATTTATCTAAGTAAAAGTCATATTACAGCAGAATTTCAGTTTACTACTTCAGAGTTACTAAAAATGTTCAGATTTCTTAATTGCCCTGATTGATGTAGTTGGGGGAGGAGGATTACAGCTGTGGCAGTGATGGTCATTTTGGTTCTCGTGGTTGCTGACATACCACCTAAAATTGTGTCATTACTTCAAACACATTTCCAACTCATGTTCATCTTGATAAACTACCAATATTATATCCTGATTAGAATATGGAAAAATGCTCATTAATAGTTTTTTCACATAGTAAATGCAAGCTAAACTAGCGATTTAATTCTAAAAGTCAGATTGTATTGCTTTACTATAAGACTAACTGTAAGCTTAGCTACATCATAACGGAAAACTTTAAGCAATCTTAGATGTGGAATCATCAGCATTTTACAGGTAGTTGTCCAGACAAAGATACAAAAAAAAAAAGAAATAATCAACTTGAACAGAAGATAATTTGGAGTTAAAATTCAATACCCTGTATGGTGGTTCAAATCCCTCCCCACAGGCTCAGATGTCTGAATATTTGAGTTTAGTTGGTAGGGGTTTTTTTTTTGGTTAATTTAGTAGGTGGTGTCTTATAGAAGGAGGTATGTAATTTATTGAGAATCTATTATTGAGAATTTAAAGACTCATAATTTCTTTTTTATAATTAATGTATTATTTTAAATACCATTTTACATTCCAACCACAGTTCTCCCTCCCACCCCTCCTCCCACTCCCTCCCACCTCCCCCCCTAGCCCACTCCCAGTCCACTCCTCCTCACAGGTAAGGGCTGCCATGAGGAGTCAACATAGTCTGGCACAATAGTTTGGGGACAGGGCTGAGTCCCTCTCCCATGCATTAAGGCTGAGAATGACATCCCACCATAGGGAATGGGCTCCAACAAGCTAACTCATGTACCAGGTTTGTATCGTGGTCTTACTTCCAGGAACCCCTCAGATATTCCAAACTTCACAAAAGTTTCCCACATAGGAAAGGCCTAGTTCGGTCCCCTGGAGTCTCCACAGCTGTCGGTCTAGAGTCCATGAGTTTCTACAAGCTTGTTTCAGCTGCCTCTCCATCATGGTCTTGACCTCCCTTGCTCATATATTCCATCCTCCCGCTCTTTTACTGGATTCCTGGAGCTAGTCCTGGTTCTTGGTTGTGGATCTCTAAGTCTGGTTACATCAGTTACTGGATGAATGCTTTATGGTGACATTTCAGGTAGTCACCAATCTGATTATAGGGATAGGCCAGTTCTGGCATCCTCTCCAATACTGCTAGAGTCTTAGCTGGGGTCATGCTTGTGAGTTCTTGGGAATTAACCTAGCACCAGGTTTCTCCCTAACCCCATAGTGGCTCTCTCTATTCAGGTGTCTCTTTCATTAATATTTTACTGCAATTTCTGCTTGTCTCTCTGCTTGTGTTTCTGGTTCAAGCAGTGAACTCTCAACTTCCTGTTCAAGTCACCATGCCTGCATTTTGCCACCATGGGCTTTAAGCCCCTGAGAACTCATATAAACTCTTTCTTCCATATGTGCTTGGTCAAGGTGTTTTGTGTCAGCAGCGGAACAGTAACTAACACATGTGCCAAGTGTATTCTCATGAAGACCTACTTTCTTTTAAGCATTTCCTGGTTGTTGTTCTGGATGTTTTAGGACTGTTTACTTAGTCTATATTTTGAAGGAAACAGTTTCTTAAGTAGTTTATGGCAAATAAAGCGAAGGAAGGCCCATCATGTGCACAGTAAAACTTGTGCAGGAAATAGAGATCATTTCCTGTTCTAGACACAAATGAAGCTTGAATCTGACTTACTCCTGCCAGGTTCACAGAAGCATTTAAAGCTCTGAGAAAAGTCATAAAAGGCTGGGCAGTGGTGGCGCACGCCTTTAATCCCAGCACTCGGGAGGCAGGTGGATCTCTGTGAGTTTGAGGCTGGGCTGGACCGATAGCCTCCAAAACAATACAGAGAAACCCTGCCTCAAAAAACCAAAAAAAATGTCATAAAAGAATTTCCTTTAAGTCTCTAAGTTGCTTGTTTTCCAGAAATGGCTTATGAAGTTATTAAAGGGGCTCCCATCAAACATGTGTTGTATGTAGATGAGATCTCCATCTTTCCCACAGCAGAAGGCCTGCCCCAACATCCATATAAATTAAAAATGAGGCCCATGCTAAATAGAGATAATAATTGGGTGAGGTGACCATTCTGTGTCAAGTGGTAAGTGGTGATAATCGTTTTCTTCACCAATGGAAGAACACTTCGTGGATTTCCAGAAAAGGGCAGAATGCATGCTATGCACCTTGTTCATGTGCATTATCCTTGCCCTCTCTCAGTTCTCATTAACTGTCTCTGTGGAGTAATAAAAGGATAAGTCAGCACCAAGGCTGACTCACCAAGCACAAGTCAGATGCTTGCTTCAAGAAAGACCTCTGTGGAGATCGGTGTGTCTTATTCAGTACAAAGGTGGACCACAAAGTGAGAACTAATTTCGGTTCAGATGCCCTGCAGCCTGAAGGGGGTATCCATAGTTAAGAGGTCAGTGGTCATCAATTTCATTGTCTACAGGGACCAGCAAAGATGGAATGAGATATATACACTTTTTGTTTATTTACTATTTAAAGAAAATATAGCATCCGTCCTAAGGGAACATTAAGTATATCATTTGTCACTTTAACATATGAGATATTCTAAGTGTGAAAACGTTAACCTGCATACTTCTAGAATATGTGTTGGAAATACAGGTAATAAATACTGAATAATATCATTTTACTTAACTTACAAATGTACTAGGAGCTCAAGCCAGTTCCACAAAGTATGAATGTAGAGTACAGGAGAGAGAGGGGGCATCCTAAAAGTTAACAATAACTTACCAATAACAGGATTATAAATGGCATGCATAAGAACTCAATTCTCACTTTATAATTCCCAACAAGTTAAATATTATTCCCTAGAAAGACACACTATTGTTCCATATTACTGCCCCTTCTACTGACAAAGAGAAAAAAAAGCAGTAATTCCAGATACACCTAAAAAAATTTCAAAACAAAAATTTCTACACCTTAAGGAGTTGTAAAGTCAATGATCATTAATTATACACATGAAAACATGATTCAATCTCAAATTCACTAATTTAATAGAATTCTTATGCAAAATTCTGTTCATTTGTTAACATCATAGAAAATGAAATGAAACAAAAAAAAGCCTAAATACTAATATATCAAAACCAAAAATACAAAGTTTGCATGTTCCAGATCCCAAGACAAAAACCTCCATCCAATCCTTGCACTTAAGTGTAGACTTAGAGCAGTCTCCTGTCACAAATCACAGGCCTCACTTCTTAGAAGTTTCACATCCTTGGGCTTTCCTTGTTCAATCTTTTGCCCCATTGTTATCTTTAAGATTTGTGCTAAAACACACGCTATATCCTTTTGTTTTCTGTTTTCATTAGACATCCAATAACTTAATATATTAGAGAAGTAAAATATAGGAGACAAGGAGGCGATATCAGCATGTCCTTACCTGAAGACCTTCAATGGCAAGTCGCAGCATGCTTGGCGTAAGCTTAGAGGCTTGCTTGAAGGTAAAGTTACTCCAGTCTATTATCAAAACAAATCCATTTACTTGCAACTCAGGATCTTCAATCATGGCTTCTAAAGAAAGTAAGATGGCTCGTAAAATATCCACCAGTGTGTACCTATCAACAACAGAGAAGTACTGAGTTAAGATGAACAGTCACTTTTCAAAGCCACTTGAGTAAAATTATTCAGATTTTATATTTGGGTGGAGTTTGGGGAATATGCTCTTTTTTTGATTAACTGACTTTTTAGCAAACTAAAGATTCTCTTTAAAAGACCTCTAAATTTACTTCGTTATGATTTTTGTGTATGGTTTTAAGAAGAAAGCAGCTTCAAATGAGTCATGAGACAAAGTGCAAATTGGCAGCCAAGGACCGAAGCAGTGGTTCAGCAGCTAAGAGGGTCATGAGCATTGACTTTGCTTGCACAACAGCCAAGTTCAGTTTCCAACACTCATGTCCAGTCTTCATTTCAAGAGAGAGCCAATGCGTCCTGCCTCTGTGGCTACCTGCACTGATGTGCACGTACTGCCCCCATTAAAAATACATAATTTAAAATAATAAAATAAACTTTAAGAAAAGAAGAATATTTTCTACTCAAGAAAATAGCAATACTTTTGAAAATACTACAAGTTGTTCAATTTTTTGAAGTATTTTTATTTTCCCCTAGGTCATTCATGCATCTGGGCAGTCAACCAACTGAGGATCAAATACATTTTGTAAATGTATGATCCATGTACATGTATGGAAACCTTTTATTATCCAATAAATGCAACCATTTGCACTTCATTAGACATTGTAAGTTATCAAGAGATACTTAAATAAAGACACTAAGCTAAAGATAAGAGGCTTAGAAATTATATCAAGTACACTGCCATTTTAGAAAGAGACGTACGCATCTTCAATTTTTGATGTCTATGTAGAATGCTAAAGGCAATGCCCAAAGACACGGAGAGACAACTATACTTAAAAATTTGACAGTGAGAAGCCTAACTTCCGATGGCCTGAGCAGAACCACCAGAGACCAGAGAAGTGCGCACAGTGGACCCAGATCCCAGCCCGACAGGACTCAGCCCACCCAGAGACTGCCAACTTCCAAGTTACAGTCTCCACCCACGGGATAGGCGAGGAGAGGGTCCAGCCTACCCAGAGTTTGCTAATGTCCTGATACTAGGATGACCTCCATCCACACAAGAGGAAAGCCACAAGGGTATTGGAACTGCTCCCACACACTGGAAAGGGGTCACATACCCACCAGGGGAGGAAGAACTCCTTCTGCACCCTCAGGAAGAAATGATGGGAAGGAGACAATACAAAAACACACCCACCAACAGAAAAACCAATATGACACCACCAGAAACAAAAAAATCTACACACACAAGACCTGAACAAATGAGAAAGACCTTAAAAAGCAACCTCATGAAAATGATAGAGGCCCTCAAAGAAGATATGAGAAAATCCCTTAAAGACATGGAAGAAAAAAACAAACCAAAAAATATAAGAACTGCAAGAAATGGAGGAAAACAATCCAAAAATGCAAAAAAATGCAAGAAATGGAAGAAAGACAAAGCAAAAACTTCAACAAATGCAAGAAAGAGAGGAAAAGACAAACAAAAATTACAAGAAATAATTCAAAAAGTACAAGGGTTGAAAACTGAAATAGAGACAATTAAAAAAAACACAGTCTGAAGGAATGCTGTAAATAGAGAAGCTGGGCAAATTGTCAGGTACTACAGATACAAGCATAACCAACAGAATACAAGAGATGGAAGATAGAATCTCAGGTGTTGAAGTTATACTATGTGAAATAGATTCATCAACCAAAGAAAATCTTAAGTTCAATAAATCTCTAACACAACATGTCCAGGAAATATGGGACACCATGAAAAGACCAAACCTAAGAATAATAGCTATAGAAAAAGGTGAAGAAATCCACCTCAAAGGGGCAGAAAACATATTTAACAAAATCATAGGAAAAAAAATTTCCCAACTTAAAGAAAGACATGACAATGAAAATACAAGAAGCCTACAGAACACCAAATAGAGTAGATCACAAAAGGAAATTCCCTTGCCACATAATAGTAAAAACACCGGTCATATAGAATAAAGAAAGAATATTAAGAGCAGGAAAGCAAAAAGGCCAAGTAATATACAAAGACAGACCTATCAGAATCACACCTGACTTCTCCATGGAAACGTTGAAAGCCAGAAGGTCCTGGATAGATAGATAGTCTACCAACATTAAGAGACCATGGAAGCCAGCCCAGAATGCTATACACAGAAAAGCTTTCAATCACTATATATGGAGAAAACAAGATATTCCATGACAAAACCAGATTTAAACAATACATATCCACTAACCCAGTCCTATAGAAAGTTCTGGAAGGAAAACCTTAACCCAAGGGAGTTAACTACAACCAGAAAAAACATAGGCAATAGATAATCCCACCTTACCAACAGTCATGTATAATTCCACCACCATAAACTATTTCAAAACAAACAAGAATGAGCAAACAATGGTCATTAATATCCCTCAATATTAATGGTCTTAACTTGCCCATAAAGAGACACAGGATAACAGACTGGATTCAAAAACAGAACCCATCCTTCTGTTGCATACAAGAAACACACCTCAGCCTCAAAGACAGACATTACCTCAGAGTTAAGGGTTGGGAAAAGATTTTCCAATCAAATGGACCCAAGAAACAATCAGGGGTAGCAATCCTAATATCTAACAAATTAGATTTAAAAATAAAATCAATCAAAAGAGATGAAGGAGGGCACTTCTTACTCATCACAGGAGAAATCCACCAAGATGAAGTTTCAATTTTGATCATCTATGCCCCAAATACAAAGGCATCCACATTCATAAAAGAAACATTACTAAAATTCAAATCACATATAAAGCCCCATACACTTATAGTGGGAGACTTCAACACCCCACTCTCACTTCTAGACAGGACTGCCAGACAGAAACTTAACAAAGAAGCAAAGGAACTAATAGAAGTTGTGACTTAATTGGGATTAACAGACATCTATAGAACATTACACGCAAATAAAAAAGAATATACCTTCTTCTCAGCGCCACATAGAACCTTCTCAAAAATCGACCACATACTTGGAAACATATCAAATCTCAACAGGTACAAAAAACTTGGAATAACTCAATGCACCTTATCAGACCATCATGCGTTAAAATTAGAATTCAACAACAACAAAAATTGCAGAAACCCTACAAAACCATGGAAGTTGAATAATGCACAATTGCATCATTCCTGGGTCAATGAAGAAATAAAAAGAAGATTAAAGACTTCCTAGAACTCAATGAGAATGACGACACAACATACCCAAACTTATGGAACACTTTAAAAGCAGTGCTACAAGGGAAGTTCATAGCACTGAGTGCCCACATGAAGAAACTGAAGGATAGTTACACTAGAGAATTAACAACACAACTGAAAGCTCTAGAACACAAAGAAGCAAATTCACCCAGGAGGAGTAGATACCAGGAAATAATCAAATTAAAGGCTGAAATCAATAAAGCAGAGACTAGGAAAACAATACAAAAAAATCAATGTAACGAAGAGTTGGTTCTTTGAGAAATCAACAAGATAGACAAACCTTCATCCAAATTTACCAAAAGACAAAGTGTAAACATGCAAATTAACAAAATCAGAAACGAAAAGGGGAACATAACAATGGACACTGAGGAAATCCAGAGAACCATCAGGTCATACTTTGAAAACCTGTACTCCACACAATTTGAAAATCTAAAGGAAATGGACAATTTTCTGGATAGATATCATTTGCAAAAATTAAATCAAGAACAGATAAGCAATTTAAATAGACCTATAACCTCTAAGGAAAAAGAAGCAATCATCAAAAGTCTCCCAACTAAAAAAATCCCAGGGCCAGATGGCCTCAGTGCAGAATTCTACCAGAAATTCAAAGAACAGCTTATACAAATTCTTCTCAAAGTAATGCAATAGAAGCAGAAGGGTCTTTGCCAAACTCTTTCTACGAAACTTCAATAACCTTGATACACAAGCCACACAAAGACACAACTTTGAAAGAGAACTTCAGACCAATATCCCTCATGAACATTGATGCAAAAATACTCAATAAAATATTGGCAAATCATATCCAAGAACACATCAGAAAACTCATCCACCGTGATCAAGTAGGTTGCATCCCAGGCATGCAGGATTGGTTCAACATACGAAACTCCGTCAATGTAATCCACCATATAAACAAGCTGAGAAACAAAAACGCATGGTCATCTCATTGGATACTGAAAAAGCCTTTGACAAAATCCAACTCAAGATTGATGGCTGTGTGGAAAGCATGGGACTGACCCAGACCCCCTGAATGTGGGTGTCAGTGAGGAGGCCTAGGTAATCTATGGGGCCTTGGGTAGTATTTAACCCTGGCATACAAATAGACTTTGAGTGCCCATGCCACAAAATGGGAATCTCTCTCAGCCGGGATTCTTGGGGGAGGGCCTAGGCCCTGCCCTGGATGAAATGTCAGTCACTGGAGATCCACCATGGAGGGCCTCACCATCCTTGGTGATTGGAGTGGAGATTAGGTTGGAGACTGGCAGACCTGGTAGGGAGGGTGGCAGAGGAGGGGTGGGAGAGGGAGCTGGGATTGACATGTGAAAAAAACAAGATTGTTTCTAACCTAAATAAAAAAAAATTGAGAATGAGATTTAGAATTTCATTCAACAAACAAGAACACTGAATGTGAGAGCTACGCATAAATATCACAAGTCCTTAATTGCTTCTACTGTGTTTCTCTCATAAATACAAAAATAGAATATATGGGAAATGGAATTGGAAAACAATAAATAAAAACAAAAGAAGAAAGGCTAGGCAAACCCATACCTCTATTATAAACAAATTTAAGGATCAGAATCTTTAGTTTTACTGCCCTATACTTAGCACAGTGCCTTGACACAATCTAGAAACCCAATAGACACACCCATTCCTGTAAAACAGCATCAGAGACAAGTGCAAGGACACTGACTATACTTTAAGACACCACCTTAGTGGGGAAAGCAAAAGGAGGCCTCAAGTCACAAATTTGAGAAGTATTTTTAGAGGCATGGTTATGAAAAT